CGGGCCGGCAGGAGCCCCCGGGACCCGACGGGCCGGCAGGAGCCCCCGGGACCCGACGGGCCGGCAGGAGCCCCCGGGGTGGGGGTGGGGAGTCCGCAACCGCCCCCCCACCCCCAGAGTCACAGCTGGTGGGCGCGAGCTCCGGCCTCCGCGTGGGCGGGGTGGCCTCGCTCGCCCCCCCCCCCGCCGCGCCGCTCCTCGGCCCGTCCCCCGCCCCGCCTCGCCCTTGCCGCCGCCCGCTCAAGGTTAGGCGGCCGCGCGCGCTCACCTCGCACCGAGAGGTTGGAATGCAGCCCCATGGCGGCGCCGGCGCTCCGCGGGGAGGGTACAGACGGGGAAGACGGGGCGCCGCCGCAGTTTCGTGCCGCCGGTCTTCACCGCACACCGGGGATCGCTCCGCCGGCCGCCCGCGGACCCCGACGCTCACGAGGTCACTCGAGGGCAATCACTGCCGGCGGGCCGGAGGGCACTGCGCAGGCGCGGCCGACGCACGTGGAAGGGGCGGGGCGAGAGGCCGGAGGCGGGGGGGCGGCACTGAGCATGCGTGCTCGTCAGGCTTCCGAGCCGGTGCCCTCCGCCCAGCCTGGGCGAGTGTCGCTGTTCTCATTCCCAACGTGGCTTGCTGGGCTCCCCGGGTTCGGTTGACTTTGCTGTAGGAATGAATGGGCAAAGCAAAACTGCCAGGCTGTACGCATTTAGTAAGCACGTGTTGTCTGCCAGGCCCTGGGCTAAGCTTGGGTATACACAAAGACACAAAAGACAGTTCCTGCCCTCAAGGAGTTTGCAGTCTAACGAGGGAGGGAGACAAGAGGTAAACAACTATGCACGCGTCAGGGATAAATAGGAAATAATGAACGGAGGGAAGGCACTGAAATCAGAGAAGCCAAGGAAGGCTTCCCGTAGGAAGTGGGGTTTTAGCTGGGACTTGAAGGAAGGCAGGGATGCCCTGAGACCGAGATCGTCGGGGAGAGCACTCCGGGCATGGGGCTAGGGGAAGACAGACAGAACGAGACTACCCAGAGGGGGGCCAGGGTGGGTGGTAAGAGCCCTGCGAAGGTAGGAGAGGAACAGGTCATGAAACGCTTTATTTGTTTGTTTTTGGTGAGGCAATGGGGTTGTGATTTGCCCAGGGTCACACAGCTAGTAAATGTCAAGTGTCTGAGGTCACATTTGAACTCAGGACCTCCTGACTCCAAGGCCAGAGCTCTATCTACTGTGCCACCTAGCTGCCCCCATGAAAGGTTTTGAACACTTCCCAAAGTATCCCTTTCTTGAGCTCCCATTCAAAGAGGGGAAACAGCCTACACCCCGGTTATGTCCAGAGAAGACAAATGCACACCTCATACCAGGGTAGTGCCCTGAGAATGTCTAGCTTTGGCTTGGGGTTATCAATATGTTCCCAGATGGGCATGTATTCAGGAAAGAGGTCCTTGGCATGTGGCCCAGAAAGAGCACGTTTTCTTGTAGCACCTAACGTGAGATCCCAACTAGAAGACTTCACTGAGCTTTGATTTCATCAGATGTCCCAGAGACGGCTCATGAACCAATTGCTAAATTTTGAGTATTTACATCCACAGTCCTATTCCCAAGGCTCTTCAGACCTAACACTTTTTCTGTACTTATTGACAGCTAGGTGATACAGACCTGAGTTCAAATTTAACCTCAGATGTGTGAACCCTCTTTTCTGTCTGTACTCTCTCACTTGGTTCTCATTGGTTTTTATGGATTAAATTATCAGCTCTATTTAGTGACTCCCACATTTATATATCTAGCCCTAATCTCTTTCCTGAGCTCCAGACCTGCCTCACAAACTGCCTATTCCACTGGATATTTCAGACTGGATATCTCAAACTCATTTTCTCTCTTCAAAATCCCCATATTGTTGTAGAGATCTCTCCCATCCCTCCAGTCACCCCAGCTCCTAACCTTAGTATCATTCTTGACTCCTCACTTTTACTGATTCCACATTAGCTGTAAAATCTCTGATTTCTGTTTTTATTCCATCTCTTGCATTTATTCCCCTCTCTCTCCTCACACAGCCACTACCCTGATTCAAGATCTCATCACCGTTCACTTGGTCCGTAATTGCAATAGTCTTCTAATTCTCCCTGGTTCTTCCCCACTCTAATGTATCCTCCACACAGCTACCAAAGTGATTTTCTGAAAGTGAGAGTCTGGCCATGTCAAACCTTGATGCCCAACTCAGTAAATGATAATGTAGGGTTTCTCAAAGTGTGGTTTGGTTTTTAAGACCCTTAAAGGGGGCTGCAAGATCAAAATTCTTTTCATAATAGCAGCAACATGTTATTTGCCTATTAAAATATTCCTCCTTTTCCTGACTACTTATATGGGTAAGGCTGTATTTTCTTCATATTATTCACCCACAACCACATCAGAACAGATTGAATGCGGAAGCAGAGAGGAGAATGAAGCTGTCTCCTATTAAGCCAGACATTAAAGAGATCTGCAAAAGTATGTAAAATGATGCCATTTTTCTAACTAATTTTTTGGTTTTGAATATGTGGTTTTTTTCATAACCATGTTATTTATATTAACATGTAATGGTTTTTTATTGTTATTTTAAAATAAGTAAATATTTAATTTTTTCAGTTTTAATTTCTAATCCAGACTGGAAAGGTAATAAAGCACTAGGTTTGGAAGGGGGTTAAATTTTAAACAGAGGGCTTCATATTTGATCTTGTTCATTAACAGGGAGCCATGGAGTTTATTGAGAGTTGAGGGGAGGGTCCCTTGGTCAAATCTGTACTTTTGAAAAACCATTTTAATAAATGAGTGAAGGCTCCAATGGAGGGAGAGATGAATTAAAGCAATTCAGAAGCTCTTACAGTAGTCCGGGTGAGTGATGAAAACAGCCTGTGTATCAGCAGGGTGGCTGTGTGGGTGCAGAGAAGAGGATGTGTGTTAGAGATGTTGGGGAGGTAGAAATGACAGGATCTGATAACATAGTGAGTATGTGGGATGAACTCAAGTAAGACACTGAGGAGGACCCCAAGGTTGCTAAGCCTGGGTGTCTGGAAGGGTAGTGCCACACTTAGCAGTAATGGGAAAGTCAGGGAGAGGAAAGGGCTTGAGAAGAAAAACAGTGAGTTCTACTTGAGATAGCTTGAGTTTGAAATGCCTAGGGGACATTCAAGATGTCTGTGAAGCAGTTGATGATGCTTTCTCAGAGAGAGCTTAGGTCTGGCTATATAAATCTGGGAATTAATTTTATAGAGATGATAATTAAACCTAAGGGAACTGGTGAGATCACCAATGGAGATCATATAGAATAAGGGTCAACAAACTATGGACAGTAGCCCAAATCTGACTTTCTGCCTGGTTTTGTACACCTGAAAACAAAGAATGGTTTTTACATTTTTAAATAAGGCTTTATTATATTTAAAAATGTAAAAACTAGTCTTAGCTCAAAGGCTATACAAAAACAAGCCCTCATGCTCCCTGTCTATAGTTTGCTGACCCCTGGTATAGCATAAAAATTGAAAAGGGCCCAGGACACAGCCTTCGTATCAACAATTAGGGGATGTAACCTGAATGAAGAAACAGCATGACTTTGAGTGGTCATGAGAATGAGTGGTCAGACTCATCAGAGGAGAACTGAGAGGGAGCCCTATTCTGAAATCCAAATGAGAGACTATCTAGAAAGAAATGATGATGGATAGTGCCAAAGACTGCAATGAGGAATGAGAAAAGGCCATGAGATTTGGCAATGAGGAGACCACTGATAACTTTGAAGAGAGTAGTTTCAGTTGAATGATGAGGTCAGAAGCCACCAACCTGGCAACTGCTTCTGTAGGTCCTACAGCCACAATTACTTAAGACCCAGAAAAGAAAGTTCTTGATGCCAAAATAGTTGTCATTGTTAAATGGTTCAACATCAGAAACCAAGATGATTTTATCAGTGGAAATGACATGACCATCTGCTTTGCTGCTTTGCTGTAAAGACTGATGAGGTCTAGAAGTTTAGGGGTGCTGGGACCCCGAGATCACAACACATGGGTCTTGCCCGAAAGAATTCAACCCAAGCCTTCTTTTAGCCAAAGACAAGGTTTATGAAAGATCCACCGCATGGTCCAGGTCCCTGGAATTCTATTACCTCATTCACTACTTGGCCACTCCTAGATCCCTCCCATAGTCTTTCTGTATATAAGGTCCATCTTGTCTCCATTAAGATGCTCAGATTCCTAAAACCTAGCCACTTGCTTACCCATGTTCAGACTCCTTAAGAGTCTGCCCAATATGATGGATGTTCTAACAAACCTTGTCTTTGGCTGAAAGAAGGCTTAGGTCGAATTCTTTCGGGCAGGATCTGCGTGTTGTGATTTTGGGGTCCCAGCACCCCTGAACCCCTAAACCACATCAGTTCAACATCAGAAACTAACATAACTTTATTAATGGGAACAACAGTAAAGATGATGCATTACCATCTGCTTTGCCACAAGGATCACTGGACCTTTTAGTTGACTGCACCTGAAACTTCCTCTCTGTTTGTCTCCTTTTATGAACATGTGAGCTCCTTGAGAACAGGGGCTGTCTTGCTCTTCTATTGGGATATCCAAATGTGTCAACACCTAGTACCGTCTCATTCTTTGTTTTCTTCATCGAACCTCAAGGAAGTTGTGGCTAAATGGATGTATGGCTCACAAGTTCTTCTTGGAGAGCTGGATGAGTTAAATTTCCCATATGCCCAAAGACAAGAACAAACATTATCTCGTGGGATATTTGGTCATCATATATTGCAGCAACCAATGATGTCTTCGCAAAGAGACCATCGTGAAAATAATTGTAGCTTATGTACCAATGTTGGTAGCTGAGGGTGAAGTAACACAGAAATTTATGGAAGAACTTGATGAGTCCCTCCAAATGAAGTAAACATATACTCTGACACTTGATGACTTCAAAACAAAGATGGGAAAAGTTAAAGTTGAGGTTCTTGTAGTTTGTCCTTCATTCTTGAAGAGGAGCATGACATCAGGAAGATGATGCCATGACTTGCGAGTGAATTGGATTTAAGTGAGGGAGGGCTGTGCAAAGTCACCAGCCTTACTTTCTCCTCCAGAGCCATCTGGATCCAGTGGCAAGATATAGACCAGGACGACTGGAGATGGCCCCACTAAAGATTAGGAGAAAAAAAAAATAGGGAAAAACATAGTTCAGGAAAAAGGAATGAGAGAGGCCAAAGACTTGTAGATTACATAGAAGCCTCATGCTTCTATGTCATGCACACTTTCTTTGAAAAAAGGATGATAGGTACTGGACATTATGATTACCAAATAACACCATAAAAAGTGAAACCGATTTTAATAGACAGGAAAAAAAATTTATTTATATAAGAAAAACACGTAGCATAAAGTTGAAACAACCTAACCTTGAACTACAAAC